GTTGTTTGAGGATCTGTTCCTCAGGGGTCACATGGGCTTGGGAGGAGCCCTGGGCTAATTTCTTTTACCAGTTCTGCTTATGTGAACATAAGTCTAAGGTCCTGCTCAACCATGGTTGGCTTTGCTTGGAAGCATGGAAGAAGTGATTCCTCTGTGTTGACCCTCCTCTTCATAGACTGGACACTGGTTCAAGTCCATCTGGTGTGGTCTCCTCGGCCTCCTTGATCAAGAGGACAGGTGACCACCACAATTACAGGACATTTTGGGAGATGCTCATAGTCCCCTGGAACTAGTCAACCTAAGAGGGCAAGGAGCAAAAACTGTCCTTTATGTCCCTCTGACCAAATTAGTATAGGCCTCAAAGTATGGCTGTTAAACGTCCAAGGAGGTTAGTTTCACCAGCCTGGTACTTTTAATTACTGTGTGCCATGTAAATAAATCTTGGGCAAAGACCAATTGTTCTCAGATAAACCTTACCTAGACATATATTTCTTGATCTGGTATATATAATTTGTCAGTAGGTTCTTGAGCTAATGTGGTTCCCTCTGGTTTTTAAAACTAGCTAGGCATTTTTTATCTCTCACATTGTCTAACCCCTCCATCATGGTTTCCCCCATTTTCCCCCTTTCTCCCTTAATAATACCCTTCTCTATGGTCCTACCTCTATTGAGCTCCTTCTTTCCCTTTATCCCCAGGTTCCTTGTATACCCCCCCCCGCTCCCTTAAACTAACCCAATTTTTATCCGTATCTCCCTTATTAACGCCTGTTTCCTACTGTTATTCTCTTTTAGGTTCTTTCTTTTCCTTTACCTCCCTGGTTCCTTTCCATTAACCTGGTTCCTGTAGTTATGTCTGGATACATAATCATTTATCAGGATTTGGTGCTAGGATCTACATATGAGGGAAAACCTATGTGGTTTTTACTTTTTTTCCTGAGCCCGTGTTACTAAAGTTAGTATAACAGTTTCTAGGTCCATCCATTTACCTGCAAATTTCATTATTTCTTCTTGCTTTACTGCTGAGTAAA